CCGTTAAGCCTGGCTTGGCTTCATAAGAGTTGAGGGAAATCCGAGGACCTCACATCAGTCACGTTGGGCGGGACGACAAGATTTTAAAAATTCCCGCCACAGGAGCCCCGAGCGGTTAGCAGTACGTGACTCTGGACCTTGTCAAAAAGACGGTCGTATTTTCATAAGAGTTCCTGCATACATGCGCTCGCCCCTGATTTTTTCCTGGGAAAAATTTGTGTTGGTGGCCATACAATAGCATATATAGTAACAGTAGGTTTTTTTCAAAAAAAAAAAAAATCTGCAGACAGACAGATTGAACGTATGGGTGGGTCTACTTGGTAAGTTGCATATATTGGTTTGTCGTGCGTATGCGTGATTTGCATTGCTGTAGTAGCAACCCACAAAGAAATTCATCTTGAAAAGCTCGTTATTTATAAACTTTTGCTTCTTTGTATCGAGCTGTTGCTATTACCAGGTTATCATGTAGACACGCGGTCACACGAGTAGAAAATCGAATTGTCGTTTCCCGGGATAGCCATCGAATTTCGACGCAGTAGACACGCCTTTGTTCGAAAGTACATTCCTGCGCCATACATGTGGGTCGTACAACCACCAAATTAGGATAGTCACCTTTTTTGCAAAAGCGAACCATTACTATTGGTATCTTTTGAAGATCGCTTGCAATTATTGTCTGTCTAAAACCAAACCGTCATAACCAGGTTCTATCGAATGGTCTTTTACATGTCAAAGAGCATGTGCTGTGCACAACCGCAGCAATGTGGTTGGAGTGAGTGGCTACGCCCCACCACACAGTTAGATAATCGATACTTTGATAGAAAAAATCACATAGCATGAACCATACAGAATCATTGGTAATTGTAACGTATGAGTCATATGGTGAAACAATAACCGCAGTGGATGATGTACAATCGAATTAACAAGTTAATAAATTTTATGTTTATTTACATTACAGTTCAATAATATACTATCTAAATTTCAGCACAAAAAGTGCTTAGCTAGTAGTTTTAACAAAGAGTATTCTGTACATAATAAGTGATTACATCGATGCAAAATAAAAACAGATACCGTTTAATCCTCCCTTCCCACCCCCCGCGGCATGGCGGATAGTCATCAAACTAGCCGTTTGACGTGAATCTGTACCTCCGAAATATGCTTTCGGATTTTTGGCCTCTCCTGAGTATAAAAATTTTGACGTTGGCGCTCGTTGTAAATGACAAGGATTTATTGACGTTTAGATGACCTTCCCGCCTGGATCATGCAAAGCGCATTTATCTTGAAGATATTGAATAAAGAGCTTTAATTCCTTGCCAAGCCGTTGAAACGCAGCGTCTGCTTGGTTGGTAGCCAATATGTTAACTGAGAAGATATAAAGTAACGCCATATTACTTTGCAGGAATACACGTATACGTGCGTTGAATAGGTTGTGATAGTTGTTGGCGAAAAACACGAGAGAGTTACTGAAGCCTTGTTGTTTTAACCGCTAAAATAGCTTTTTGCGAAATAGGCAACCGTTTATTAGGGCTGGTGTTTTTATCGAGGTTGACTTCGAGGCAGGTTGGTAAATTGCGTCTTGTATATCGTTTGCGGTTTTAGATGTTAATGTATTTGTTTAAGCTTGTGAAGAAGCGAAAAAATTCAGTGACGAGCAACTTGGAGGGGGAGGAAAGAACTGTTTATATAATTCAAGTATTACCCAGTTATAAACAATCGGATTTTCTATTTCTCTTTGTTATACTGCGGACGTGATATCTGAAAAAGATAAATGACAACGCACGTCCAATAAAATTAAATGCCGTTTAATATTCTAGTTTTGGTAAAATAGTATTGTTATAAAAGCCGAAGCACTATTGGAAGCTGTTCGGCTTTCCCAGCCTTTGCCAGCCAATTATTCTTATCAGTAATGCAATTTATTCATATTTCAATATCTTGATAACATACGTTTTATATATTAACGTCCGATTTTACTATCATAATATTTGTAATACTACTTAACTATTCATAAATTAATCATTGTATAATTTTATTTTATTATTTTGGATACATTCGGCAAAAATTTTATTACATTTAATTAATTCGTCATAATATTTTATCACGAGCAATTTTTTTTCTGTTCCGCTAGCAATGCTTTGAGCTTTCAAAGGACGTAGTGGTGGTATTGTAATAATCCTTTGCTCGAGATAACGACTGAATAATCTCGGTCTTACAGTTAGTTATGCCTTGCTAATATACATTCTGTTGAATCGATGCCAGGTGTTGTAAACATAATTTGTACTCTTTTGTGCAATCGAAAACACAACCCATTTTTTTTCTAGTAATATACAAAAGAATATATCTTTTATTGTGGCAGCACCGATTTCCATTACAAGTTGCCCAATTCGAGTCTTTGTTAAAGACATTGTTATGCAATACCAAGTTTTAGTAAACCAAATAAATAACAATAAAAAATACTGGATTTTCTATCCGATGTTGTGTTCTTTTTTTATCTTCTCAGTCCCATGTAACATGATTGTCAGTAATTACCTATTTAAGTCAACCGTACGTTTGTATATCTAATGTGACAATCAAGATTATCCCTTATCCCCTTATTTTTTTTAATCAGGGGTTCTACTTGTTCGTGTTGTGATTATTGATAAATGCTGTAAAAAGCATGATGAAACTTGGTAGCATGCAATAGCAACAATCAAAAGCGAACAAGCACGGTCACACATATTGTCATCATTCTTCACCTTGGATTTCTAAAAAAAGATAAGCGTATAACTAATTGTCTTGACAAGCAGAAATAGGTAAATAGTCGGAGCAGCTCGCTCATTGCACAAATGCATGCAAACAGACATTTAATGAAAAAGGAGCCTCCAATATTGATCGAACGAATCACACCGTTTGTATACTTGTCTTTTTTTTTACTACTATTTTAGTGTGCAGAATTTCGATCATTCCCAAATCGGGTGATCCTTCAATAGTTACTATTTTTGTTGAGACATAATAAATTAGAAAATTTTTTCTCTTTTTTTTATATTGTAAATTGTGTAAAATTGCATCATTTCGTTTCTATACACAGCCTGTTCTTGAAAATTTCCCCTTTTCTTTCGCGTAAATACGCAATAAGCGACTTGCGTGATCTACATTTGTGCAACAAAAGCATATATAGTCTTTGTTTCTCGATCTCGTATCTTTGTCTGTGTGCTGTTTATTATATTATAATCTATAGAGTTTATAGACTTTTTTTCTTTCTTTTAGACCATACCGAGGTTTAGATTTGTTTTCAACAACCTAAGGTTTCTATCGTTTTTTTTATCAAACTTGGGACTTTATTCCGGCATATAAAAAATTTTTTTTAATATTGCGAAAAGTTGAAAGCGTAAATTAAATAATACAAAGGTTTGTAAACTTGTGGCTTTTTCTTTGAAACGTACACTTCTAAAACGCGGCCCAAGACACTCGTAAAATCACTCACCAAATACTCGTAAGCGAATGCATTTCCGTGGGTAATTTCTGTAGGAGTAAAGTCAAAGAAAAAGAAAAAGCCGAAAGACTCAAGCACAAGTATATTTTAAAAACAAATCTCAAACAAACATGAAAAAATATTGTGCTTATCTTTGTATACTTGTTCTACGTCTACACTCAAAATTTACATTCCCACTGCATTAGATTTTTACCATCAACGCTTGAATTAAAGATTAACCAATACCAGTTAATGTCTTGTCAGTATTTGCAGAAAAATATCCATAATGTGTACTTGCACATAAACGCTCGTGAGTTCAGTTAAGTAAATGTTTAATAAATGGCTTGTTTTTTAGTTAAATAGCTGACTACCGAGTTCCATTTGTAGGTTTGATACTATGCAGCAATCGCCGATTGACTTGCATGATCGAGCTTTTGCATGCTTGGATCGTGCTTCCTGTTTTCACTCTGTTAGCTGCAATTAGATGTCCGTGTGTAGTTTAACTTTAATCACATTAAGATGTTGATAATCACTTGCGAGTCGACAATTGCACTTCATACATGCCTTTCTCTCGGAAAATCAACATCATGACTTTGCTTTGGACCATTACGCATGTAATTCAATCGTAAGTGGGATAAAAAATACGTCTCGGTGAAATAAGATTAAAGTTATATTCAAAAATAAGCGCATTGTCTAATCTCATGGCCAATAAGCGGACAGCTAATCAAGCATTGCATTGTTAATTGTTATGTGATTATAGCGAAATAAATGTGCTTATCATTATTTGATTCTCGGTGATAATAATAAGATTAGTTTAAGTTTGAGTAACTACAAATAAATACTAATTTATAATACTAATACACCGATTAAAGTTCCAATGCAGGGCATGACCTTCTGTGTCTCTGTGTACATTTTGATTTCCCGACTGGAATCACAATAAATGACTGTAAACAGTTACTTTCCTATTGAGTGGTTGCCAGTTAGCATTAGAAAAAGTTAACCGGTGACATAGGAGCAGGTAAAGCGTTCTTAACCATAATACTATTCCTGTTTGACTATGCTTCCTTTTACTATCTTTATTAAGAAGAAAATCATACGATTGTAGCTATGACATTATTCAACTTCAACTATTGGCATCTGCAGGACGATATACAGTATGATTGATGGTATTTGTTAGCGCATCTGATGATACTGAACGTCATTGCCGTTTAAACATGGAAGCAATCGTCTATCTTTTTAGTTGAATTATCAATTGTGCGATGTCCCCTGTGAATACGACTTGTGTAAAAGAAGTGTCTGAACACAAAGATCAAAGAATGCAAACTAGAATACAGTCAACCCCTCTCTTGGATCAACAAGGCGTATGAACATGGAACTTTTTTATACGCATATTCGAATTTGGAAGATTTTTAACTGGCCGACAAAACGTAATACAAAATCTTGGGCGATCTTACATTCAAAAAAGAAATTTCGTTAAAAAACTAGCTGAAAAACCGTGCCCTAGTTAATCCAACCTTCCCATTTCCGTTTCTCTATCCAACACCCCGCGCTTTGTATGTCCACTACCGTAAAGTCACAAGATCTCCCACCTGAGGGAGGATTTCCCTCTGTTCGCTACCAGCGGAACCTTCCCAAGAGAGGCCCAAGTGGGGCAGTGCTCTTATTGGGTGTTACTTTGGTATCAGCATACGGACTTTACCGGCTTGGGCAGACGAATCTGGAGAGAAGGTAGGGTTGGGTTATATAGAGTTTAGGTGGGGAAGGAGGAGAATTATCAGTAGTGGAATGATGGAAAATTATACGTGATGCAATATTAGATGCTGGGTGGAAAACTTGGCAATAGTAGTGGATTAATTTTCTACTCCAAACTTTTATGAGCAAGACTATGTTGAATTTGATCGCCTAACTACATACCAAACCTCTTAAACTCTTCTTTCTCGACACAGAGAACTTGACAGAGAAAAATGCTGGTCACGCATCCACCTCGTTCCTCTTCTCCAGGCGGAAATTGACCGCGATCTTTATCGTCGTACGCTTGCAGCACAAGCACGCGAACAGGAAATAATGAGCGATGTGCCTGGATGGAAAGTAGGCGAGAAGGTGTACCATACTCAGCGATACGTTAAGCCAACGGTTGTTGTTATAGATGAGTAGAGAGATGATGATGATATTGATTGATTGAATATTTGAAGCGCGGTAGGTTGAAATGATGAAAGAGCGTATGAGTGTGATGGGCGAGTGTTGGAAAGAAAAAAAAAAAAAGAATAGTCGCACGAGGTTGCGTGTACGAAAGGATCTGAAGGTTTTGACAATGTATTTATATCTTGAACATGTACATAATAATTTTGAAATAATTGTTACAAGCGCTCTCAGCCGATTTCGTCATCTGAAATGCTCTATAGTACTCTTTTTTGGAACATTACAGTGTGAGGAAGACTTTCAAACTTCTTTTGTCTGTTTTTTTATTTCAAAAAACACAGGAAACTGGATCTGGATTGTAATAATTAGATTCTTTCTCTCCTTGAGTATCTATTAACAACTTCTGCTTTATGAGGTGGTGCATTGTCATGACGTGTTGAAATTCATCCTGAAGTTGACTATGTACAATGTACTCAATTCTTTCCAATTGACTTCCTAAGATCTGGGGGATTGCCTTTGCAATTTTTACGGGCAACAGTCTCGCGAAAATGCCGCGAGTAGGGAGTCATCTTCAATGCTCTCATCTGACTTTAAATGCGTCAACCCATCAGTGAATAGTACGTTCAAACAGATTGTTTTTCTGACGTAAATTCAACTGAACACGTGTTCTGGCCCGTAGCAAAATTCAAAAACCCAGAGTTCGAGATGAGCAATTTTAATCACGAAAACAACGTTGATTAGATGTCGCCTATATTGCGAGTCTATGAACTTTCATTATACTATTCCCTTAATTGAGTAGACGTCCGAGATAAAATTTCTTTTCAGATACCTACGCATCAGACGCAAGTCATATATTGTCGCGTATGTAATATTATTAGACTGACTCTTGTGTATCGAATGAATTTCTTTTGCGCAGTCACACTAATTTTTGCTAGGGCACACAATTGTGATGGATTTATATGTAACAGAATTAAAATCATCAGACATAATAAAATAAGAGTTTTTTTTTCAAAGTATTACCATTGCTATGTTTTTCAGAAAAGAGTCTAGAATATCATGGAAACATGACTTTTTAATCCAGATACCAACATTATCAAATGAGAAGGCCTTTCCCCCTCTCCAACTCGAGGCTTTCTTTCAAATGTCGGTTTTTGCATTATGATGACGATACAATTAACTCTCCACGAGTACACGTTTATGCTATTATCATGAGCATGTGGGATACTCGTGTACCCTAACAATGTTACTCGCATTTTCTTATTTCCAAATCTAAGCAATTCTTTCAATGTCTGACCGCGAAGCTGTAATGGTTTGTGCCATGTTACCTTTATTAATGTATACACATTTGAACTTGTGATAATGGATACGTCACAAGAACGTTGTGTCAACGTCCTCATAGATACCCAACAGAGATAATCTTCCAACTGTCTTGTCTAATGTCCTTTGTTTAATTGCCAAGTTCCACCTAGTTTCTTAACCGTTTTCTTAATTGTTCGACCATTTCTGATCGGGGCACAACTATGCCACCACCTTCTCCTTGCTCTTTTGACCTCATATCTTTAATTTTAATTTCACCACGATCTAGTTCACTTTTTCCTATAATAACGGCATATGGAACCTGATCGCGATCACAAACTGTAAATTGGGCTTGAAGTTTAGGTTTACGCTTATACATAAATTCAGCCTGTTTTTTTTTTTGTAAATGTAATATTTCCATTCACAATAATGATGGTCAATATAACGTCCTCTTTTATTTCTCAAACTCGACTGCCAGATAACGCGCAATTTACAAACCTTTATGCCTGCATCCCAGAGTTCAGTGCATACGCTCATTCTCTCCTCTAACAGCCCATCTCCTACTGATATCACATAAACTTCGACTTCGTTTGCCTTAACACTAGCCAACTGAGCTCTCTGCAATAATATAGAGAACACACGTTCGACTCCAATACTCACACCAACGCATGGTATACCACCGCTCGAAGTATTAGCAAACATTCCCACAAGATTGTCATAACGACCTCCGGCAGCAATTGACCCAACCCCAACAGTCGTTTCGTCAAGTTCATCAGAATCTGTCCTGGCCTTTCTTCTTATTTTTGTGCCATCTTCCGCTTCTGCAAAGAATAAATGGTAATAAGTTAGATATCATAAATCGAATAAAACGAGTTATCAGCAAAATATATTTATTTTACTTGGTTGTCCTGATTGTTCCGTCACTGCTTCATAGATAATACCAGTATAGTAATCTAGACCTCTTGCAAGACTTAGATCAAAAGACATCTTGTCGAGCACATTGAAAATTTCCAAGTATCGGAACAGCAGGATCATATCGTCTAGGCCAGCCTTCACATTCTTGTTAGACACTAATTCTTTGTTATCCAACAATTGAGTCAAGAGTTCTTTGCCACCTACAAAATGGACAGTCAGTTTGTAGTAGTGAAAGAGTCTCTTGATCACCTCCTGTCTATACCTTTTAAGATCACATACTCGCCAATGCGATCTGCTACTACAGGATCTAATCCCTTTTCTTCCACCATTTCTTTCTTTACGTCTTCCCACGGTAGCTAAACAATTGAAACTCGTTCAATCTCACGACAAAAACGCGAAATACACACAACACTTTCCCCTACATTACCTTGTCTAATTTATCAACAGCTGACGATATTGGCCTTATCTTGGCTTCGGGTACTCCACATATTTCAAATATACCATCAAGCAATTTCCTATGATTTATCTACAAAAAAAAAGCGATTGTAAATGACTGCGATACCGGCCCGGGATATTACAAACTTTTACTCGCGACACTACCTTGATTGTGAAATTGCCAATGTCAAGTGCAGTCAAACATTCGCACATTATTCTAACAACTTCCGCGTCAGCCACCATCGGATCATATACACCGGCAACGTCAAAATCCTAAAAAATGCAAATTTTCAGATCAAAAGAAAAATTTAGATTGTTTAGGGGGTTAACATTTCTCATCGACTATGTAACCCGAATCTCACTCACGCATTGATAAAATTCTCTCATTCGACCTTTAGTCATTGCAGGCTGATCCCTTCTGTACACTTTTGCAATCTGATATCGCTTAATATTCGGATACTGCGTGCCATTCATAGCCAAAAACCTTGCAAATGGTACCTACGCATTAAGACAAATTGGTTTCTGCAACTTTGAATAATCAAGTACCTAGGGGGAAGACTATATTACTCACCGTTAAATCATAACGCAAAGAACACTTCTCCCCGCCTTGATCTTCAAGATCGTATATTAATTTACTATCTTCGCCGTATTTTCCCGCCAAAATCTCCTTTAACTCAAACACTGGTGTGTCTATGGTGACTGCACCATGTTTCTTGAAGACAGAGGTGATCGTGGAGAAGATCTTCTCCCGGATCGCCATTTCTTTATCGTTATAATCACGAGTTCCCTATTCAAGAATAATACAATATTTGAAGATGCCAACAAGATGATATGTTTTATTCGGATGTAAAAAATTAAAAAAATGATAATAATAAGAATGATAAATTTTTTTAGTAGAAATAAATTCAAGATTATCTGACATGCCTTTGGCGTCTTTAACATGAATTTTGGTCCTTTGCTCTTTGACGTTCCACTCGACCCAGTCTGTTGCTTTTTCAAGCCCAACAACACATCCACCGCTGCATCAATCTCCGTTTTGTCGGCCCCAGCGGCCTTCAGTGATCTCACAAGATCGCCTTGTTTTTTTATCTTTTCTTTAAGTGTTTCTTGAGATGTATCCATTACGATGCAATGCTAATGTGAACTGCGGATAATCTCGTTTTTATATCACAAATTGTTGGTGGTACAATCTAATATTCATGTGACCTGCAGATGAGATCTTCAGAAAGATTCTACAACGCGCGGTTTGTGGTAGTCTCTGACTTATACGGCTAGTGCTAGGCAAGGAAACTGTTCACTATCAATTATAACAAAATCAATTCTTAATTCGCTCCCCGTCGCAAGAATATTCTTCCCAAGCGTTAGATTCAGTGAAACATGTCTCGTTACTTCATTCCAATTAATGACGACAATGGCACTGGAATTTGATGCAAACCAACTTGAATCTCGCCGCCCTTGGGAGCTCATTGCACCATCCATGATCGAAGGTTCTTACGTTTTACGATGCTGAATTCCGGATGTCTTGGGTCAGACTGACACTTTAGCAATAGCGCTATTTAAGTATGGGGGTCTCTGACAATAATTAATCTTCTATGGCGTATCGGAAATTTTCTACAGACAAGGATAGATAAATGGGCGAATCACTGTGTCATGTCATAATATACTCATTAAACTTCTTGTCTCGAGTGTGGGATATTGCTACATTCAATATCAATATGAATTGGGTAAAGGAGTTTTATTATTTCATCTTAAGTATAGGGTCTAAATAAACGAATTTTCATACTTTCGGTAAGTCATGCCATTTCACAGGAATTGACTTTCAAATTAAATTATCCCGAATCCCTCAATACTCCCCCCCCCCCCCTCTCAGTCACGGCCATCAGATAATATAATATAAACGCATTCTTTGACGATTAGCCATTTCAGCGTATACATATGCCTCAGCCGTCAATTCTACAAAACAAAATAATGAGAATGAATGCGAGAGAGCAATAGGGGCTATTTTCTCCAGTTCTATTCATCGATGCCACTCCTCGCATTTCCCCATGTGTCCGATCGAATGAAACACATCACATTTGTTAAGGGGTTTTCTTCTCATGTTATTATACAGCCTGATTCATCATCTTTTATCGTCACGGTTTAAAATATGCGCGTTTCTTCATTATTTATTAGTAGAATTTGTGATTACTGTGCGGAGATTCCAATTTCCACGAAAGCTTGGAACATGCAAAGTCGCCGAGCGTCCAATAAATATGTGTCTGTTCTAACCATTTAAGCCTGATCTCCAACTCTTACATTAGCATGTAACGTAGGCTCTACCGTCGTTACAGCAGACAAAAGTCTTTCAATAACGGCTGCCTTGTGTTCATTGAAAGCCTCTTGAATCTGTGCTAGTTTAGTCTCAGTTTCCGCTGTAATTTTGGCAAAAGATTGATCTGAAGAGCCAGCATGCTAATACCAGGATGAAGTGTCATTTAGAACTCACGAGCATTGTAAAACAATAAACATATACATTGTAACTGCTATCAGCTTATAAATAACTGTATAGTACCTCTGTTTCAAATTGCTGAAATTCTTCATTTTTTTGGGCTTTTAAAGCCTCAATCTCTTTCGCCGCTTCTGTTCTGGCAGCCTTTAGTCGATCAACTCGATCTAAACGAAGACATAGCAACTTCCGTAAGTAGGTGTATAACATAGCACTACATGACCTTTCCTTGCATTCTTACACTGTCTTGCCTTCTGAACTATCTTTGCGGCCTCCTTTTCGGCCTCCACAAGCGTCTGAATCCCTTGAGAGTTGGAAGCAGCCTATAAAATGGAGCAAGTCCACCCGTAATATTAAAGATTACATTCTTAGCCTAGTCACATAAACTGAATTCTATGGATGTTTACCATAATAACCGACTTAAAAAGAGGTGAAGTTATGAAGCGGAAATGGAGATCTAGTGGTAAAGAATCTAAAGCACGTAGTAGATCCGATCTCAATGTTTTGTGCAACAACAAGCTGATTGATTATGTAGCGTTAGCATCAGCCGTGACAATATACAGAGTTAAGAATTGAAAGTTGTGTGGTGATTGATTATTTGGATAGAATTAGCTATAAATGCAATTATAGAACATATTTCATTAATAGCTACATCAAACGTTTGCATTTTTATTAAAGTGCACGATTTAAGTTGCTAATGTATCTTTAGTGTTTATAATGCTTAGGAAATTTATTATACTTCTATATTTTCATAAACCCAATTTTTCTTTTCCCGAAGTATTTTCAGGCCAATGGAGATCATGAGCTTTGTCAAGCAATCCACAACTTTCCAATTCACCTGGCCACTTTATTGTTGAGTTCATTCTAGGTGGATAGTGGCTATTCTGGTGATTGTCCACACCAGTCGAAATCAACCAACATTCCCCATCAATCTTGTGACACATGATATTTGTACTACGGAGGTCACCAAAAACAGGGTCATGATTTGCAGATGGTGCTCAACATCACGTACAGTGCTGTAGAGTGGCATTCCATCCAGAAACTCCATCACGATCATCCACCATTCATTGATCACTGTTTGGCTTGCATATGAATGGCCACTCCATATGCAGAATATGCTGTACGACCATAAAGGTCAGAAAAAAGTGTCGGAATTTATATTGAACTACCCCAGGAGGCTGTGGGTAATTGTTGCAGTAACGCGACTCTGTATTACCATGTCTGTTAAGATCGTTGCATCTCTGTGTACTTTTCAATCCTGAGACGAGTATTTGGGGTTTGAAGTCTGCCCTTGTATTACTCAACTTCAAAGGTGTAACACACTTCGACTCTTGCGCACGACACGACACGACACCTGGGGACTGCTGAGAACGTCCAAACCCAATTCGTGTAACCATAACGATAACCGCCTTTTTGATAGATCAGGCCCCATTTGCTGATGGTTTGCATTCCGCAATTTACACCAGGTGAGAAATGAGATGATAGAGAAAACTTTCATACAACTTCGTTTACTAATATTCATGACAATTAGTCACATTCAAAATCGACGAAGATAATCCAGCGTTCAAGTTTTGCGTTGAAGACATACTTCGCAGGATAAAGAACATGGGACCAGTAGTAGATACTAACGAGGCAATGCGGTGTGAATACATTTCGACAATCTTGCATACATCTGTTAGTCTTCTCGAAGGTTTGGTCATCTCTCCTCAGGCCGATATAGTTGGCGAAGAAATTACTGGCCGTGTCGACTATGTGATCAAAAAAATAATCAATGAAATGTTGGAAGAAATTATTTGCATAACCGAGGGTAAACAAAATCAGGCCACTATGGGTCTTTGCCAGAATTCAGTGCAATGTCGAAGCGCGTGTGATGTAAGTATACCTGTTTTTCTTTACGGATTGATAATGAGTATTATTAATTTTCGTTCTTTCAGATGAATCTAGATATGATCAAGAAAAAGCGGAAGGTCGACGAAACATTCGAAGCCGACTATATGACTATGTCTATGGTATAGTCAGTACCGGAACAGACTGGTACTTTATCCTTCATACTACCGACGCCAACTATTGTACTAGTAAAAGCGAATACCGCATCTCGCTCACAGAAGCCGTCCTCGAAGATGATACCGAGTTGCGAAAAAGTGTTAAGAGGATTTAGAGGTAATAGTGGGATTATTAAAAGATAGGCTGTCTGCTAGTGATGAACCAGCGACTAAGAAGAGGCGTGTGCAAGAGAAAATCAGCAGAGCTGGCCTGGCCAAAAAATGATGTAATATTTAGGGGTATCCATTGAATTTTACTTTTTTCATTGGCTGGTTAATTAAGAAATGAATTTTTTCACGCGTTACGCATATCTCTGACCCATCTAGCTACTGTGTGACTGCCTCTGACAACAAATCTCGACCTCCTACCAGAAGAGAAGCGAAAATCCGTTATTAATAAAGTGCTAGAGCAGTTCCCTTATTTATCTTCGAAGTATAGCAGGACCGAAGGGAAACCCTAAAGGGTTACAAAAATCACGATTTTAACAGTTCAGTATCCTGCCCTATATGCAATAAAAATCATAAAAAAGAAAATATAAGATATAATAATAATGTAGAGGGTGAATGGTAGTGGGGATTATGTCAATACAAAAACCTATCGTCTCAAATGCTGGGAGGCTTATCAAAATTCAATCCAAATAGTAACAGTGAAAGCGTAGACTATTGATTTCGAATATTAATGTCATGCCTCGTAGAGGCGCCTGAAGGCCTGACTAATTCTTCAATAAACTAATTATTTTGCATGTCATTTTCCGAAATACTTCTATGCTGATCTCTGATTCGTAAATGTAAAACACATGACATCACTCCTGTAACGTGACATAGTAGAATAATTCAATCGAGTGGTTCTAGAATAATATCATCATCATCAATATAGCAATAATCTAAATCTAAACTGTCTAGAATTCGCCCCCAAGGAATTTCTTTGTTAGTTATCTCTTGTATATTATATTTAACAATTTCTTTTTCCTGACCATAAAGCATTCCATTGATTATCTTTCAATCTCTACTTGTTTTTAGCGGTTTCAAATAACTTTTTATAATACTTATCCCACAAATATTGATCAATATTAATATATCCTTGAAATTCTTCATTATCTGAATATCTTTCGCGCGATTCTCTTTCTTTTTCTTTTTGTTCAAGTTCTAATTTATAGAATTCAAACGCCTGTGATCTTCCATCTTTCTGAAGTTCAGGTTGAAATTTCTTTATACCAAGTTTATTAATCCAGCAGAATTTGTCGAGATCCTCCAATTACAATGATAGATTTGGAATAATTTCACTGATAATATCTGGAAGATTCTTTACTACCCAATGGTCTTCAGGGTAATCGCTAAAATCGAATAAATCACAATCATCTATCATGTCTTGATAAATATTTTCGGTCTCAATTTCTATGATTAATGAATCTGTATTAGTATCAGTATATATAATATAGGAGTTTTACTTTATCTTTTGAGATAACCATACCAAAAGTCATACATAAAATATTTAGAAAGATCTAAAATACATGCTCCTACATATTCCGGCTTATTTAGTTTTACATTAGTCTGCCTTCGGTGTACAGCTACTAAGTTCGCCCCATAGAAGATTTTCCTACTAACAAATGCTGGATCTGAAATTAGTCTTCGTAGTCTGTGTTCTTCACCTCCTACTACTACTACTACCTGACGAATCAATTCTATATTGACTCGCTTTCTCACATCCTCCATAGTTTTCCCAAATACTGAATTATTCATCAATTTCCAGAAGTCTTTTTCGAACGCATTCTTTGCTTTTGCACGTCGTTGAGTATTCATTGCTATATAAGGTTCCAGCCATGGAGATTGTTCGAATCCCAGAATTCTGTAGAACATATCCTTCTTTTATGCATTGTTGTAAATTTCTGTAATGAATAACGTAATGTCTTTATCATGTAGAGTTAGTATAACTTTTTCTGTATCTGAGCATTGATTTCCTAACCTTCTTTTCGTTTTGAACTATACCAATCATATTCGTTCTGGACACATAGGATGGTCCCGAAACTTTGGATGTAATTCTTTTGGAATTGATAACTTAACCTCTAAACAACATCCTTGATTTGATTTTTCTTTTAATCTTAAAATTTTCTGCACTAATACTAATGAATGAGTTGCTTCTATTATAATTGATTTCTTAAAAATTTTATGTAATGCTCCTGTCACACAGTGAAACCGGATAACGAAGAAGACAATCTAGGTATATATGGCAAAGTAAGACAATCGCAAAATGGGGGAGGGGGGTATTATCAGTACCCCATAACATGCGGATTATAATACTGGGGACCCCAATAACAACTATATAGACATTACATTGAATGCGTTTACTGATTAGGATAGATCATATATGCAGCATACACTATAGATGCATATTACGACATAAAATTATGCAACAACATTTAAGTATTACGTAACTAGAGACAATTACGTTCTTTTACACTATCCTTAAAACTGTGCTGTCACCGGTTATCAGCTGGAGTCCCTTGATATCCGTTTATCCATTTGGTTTATTATTAACAATCAAAGGAAAGGGTAGATTTATTAAATATTAACGAAACAGAGCGAAAGTGTATTCATTATTATTAACAGGGCATATCGACTCGACTGTCGTTGGCTTTGGTAAAGGTCGCTTGAAGAAACGAAGAAAACATCGTTTATATAGATTGGTCCATTTTGTATACCCATCCGTCAATAACAATGACATGATCAACACAAACAGTATCTGAAAAGGACAAAGACGACGGACGGACGGACAAAGGAGTCAGTTTACTACCTTTTACAAAATTCTGTTAAAGTCCGTTCCCAAACCGAACCATGACTTCATGGTCTTCTCTTGTCATAATCTCGGGCGGCTCAGCATGTAATTCTATGGTGATTGTCCAAATCAAATATTATGTTATCAAAAAAAAATTTTTTGTTGTTGTAGAGACATTGTAGATACCAAAAAAAAAGTTTTCATTTCTATTAGGTTGACATTTTACAGTCAATCGTACAAGATGTCACTTATGTGTTAGGCGTAAGCGATGACGGTGGTTCTACATCGGAAGTTCTGCGTGTGCTAGGTGGACCTGGAATAGGCGATATACGGAGCAGATTAGTGAGATTGATTAACGTGGAGGAAGATAAAGAGAAGAAGTCTATCAGGGAATTGTTGAGTTATCGATTGCCCGCCGTCGGAGATAATGTCGTTATCCGGGATGAATGGTTGGAGATTATCGAAGGAACTCACAGGTGGATTGCATGGCCAAACTTGTTGAGACATGAGCGGTTATATTTATTGTTATTGATATCATTGTTCCTTCCGACCTTTTAGATTATGGCGAGGAATCTCGTCCGAAAAACGAGCGGTAATTCGGGGGTTTCTTGTTCACATGCAATCAGAAGTCTTCCGTAGAGCACACAAAAAATTCGATTTTCACAATGGCAGCATTGGGAATTTTTTCTTAACCGGTGCCCGTCTATTCCTCCAGTCACTCGAAGGTGCCATTGTATTATTTACAGCGATAGCCGGTATTACCGAGCAAACTCGAGTAATACCTGCGATAAACACCAACCACTCGGTTGCCATAGCGGCCGAGCTAGAGAATGGGAATGTTATACTCGGACAGTGTGAGATATCTCATCCGAGCATCACAACTACGACGACTGACATGAACGAAATGCCTGAATCACCAGTGCCGTTTAGTCCCATATCCCACATTCTAACTGGTAGTAACTTGACGTTTGACAAGTTTGACACAGAACACTTGACTCGCCGAATACATAGGATATATTATATTAATGAGTATGGACAAGAAATATATCCATCGCCTAATCCCAAGGTGTTGACGAGCTTGAAAGAAAAGTTGACGCTGATATATAGTATTGGATCTTTGTATACTTCGATCATGCCCTGTTTAATACTACGTGATGTCGGTAAGGCTATCGTTGATTCAACTTCGTTAAAACGTAAGATATTGATTTTGAACGGATATAATGACCGAGAGACTGCTGGTTTTTCTGCGGTTGATTTTATTAAAGCCATAGTGCATGGATGCAATTATTCGTTGCGCCTAAGTGGGGTTCATGCGACCGATTACCCCGATTATCGATACGTTACTCATTTGGTGTATTTAGACAATTCGCAAATTCCGGTTGATACGGTAAAGATAGAGAAGTTAGGAATAGAATGTATAGCTACAAGAGGAATCACTAATAATGATGGGAGGGCGGTTTACGATGAACATGCTCTTGGTGGGTTGCTTAATAAACTTGTTACGTGATTTAATCGCGGTAGATCAGTTAGATATGCATGTGATATGCACTCTGCCTATCAATATAAATTAACCCCCATCCTTTATTCATTCCGATGATTTTCATCATTACTGCCACCCCCCCCTCTACTCGCAAACTTTCAAACATTTCGTTTATCCACTTTTCGCATATTAATAGAAAATCCAACTTATTTTGCGTATAATCATCCGATTTTGCTCTACATTTGTTGAGATAGAGCGGTAGAATGTCTCAACAAAAGGATCTACCATATCAAGTATCAGAGAAGGTCCTATGCTACCATGGACCATTGATATACGAAGCCAAAGTAGGTGTATCAAATTATTTGCATCCAAACAACAAATCAATCACTAAATATAGTATCTGAGAGGAACAATAAAATCGGATTAAGTACAACATTTCTTATACAGCGCACTTCTACCTTAGATTTTAAAAGCAGAGTATTTTGAGTCTAAAAATGCTAGTTCTGGGGTAACCGGACAGCATTACTATATCCATTATAAGGGATGGAAGAATACGTAAGTCACCACATTATGCGACCTAATCTACATATAGAAAACTCCCAATCTCAGACAATCTCATCATGATAACACGAAAACATTAACCACTGACAGGTGGGATGAATGGGTTGAGGAATCCCGCATATTAAAATATAACGACGCAAATCTATCTAAGCAAAAGCAAATTAAAGAAATGTACAAGTCCAAAAAATCATCAACTAACGTTATTATGAGGAAACCGACTTTGGACTTGACAACTACTAGCACTGTGAGTGCTGCTACTTCAAATATCGAAAAAGGAAAGAAGAGAAAAAGAGAGTTGTCAATTGAGGGAAAGGTGAATAGAGTCTTTGAAACTCAATTGAAAAGCGTAACTCTGAACGTTAACATTAACGAAAAAAATTACCCGTCTCCTATCCCTCTTATTATCCGGCATCATTACATTACCCCTTTCCTCTCCCGTTTCATAACCCGACGTCCATTGTATTCGCTTGTCGCTTGAGCAGGTGTCAACTATGATAACAGAACATGTATGCGTATATACCATTCGCTTTCGATTTTCAACAAGTCCCGTCCCCCCATTTTTCTCTGAGCATTAAGTCTTCCTTTACTATGCTAACCATGCTTCTCTATCTCTCTCTCTCTATCTCTCTATCTATCTATCTCTCTATCTCTCTATCTATCTCTCTCTCTCTCTCTCTCTCTCTCTCTCTCTCTCTCTCATGCCCACACTACACACTACACACCCATATACTCGAACTCTCGCTCGCTCCTCACACTCTTCATATTTATGAAATACGCTTAATGTTTCTATGGAAACAGGAAGATTCAACAAAAAGACCCATGATAACATTAACCGTTCCCGAACAGTTAATGGCAATATTAGTAAAGGATGCAACATATATTGCTAAATCACAAATGGTAAAGAAAAAAAATTCCCCACATCTGTCTTGCAAAAACTCCTTATAGCACAAATGTGGTTTAGTGTATTCACCCATATATGTATCCGTCAATTCATAATTCGTCAGCTTGTTCCATTACCGCGCAAGCCATCTGTGATCGATATTACGAATCAATACATTCAGTATCGTCGGGACGGTAAAGGAAATCAGACGTTAGTGTAAGTTTATCTCATAAGATTAAATAGATATCATTATCGTATGTTGGCTTGACTAATAGACAGACTCCTATAGGGAAGGCATCATGGAAGAAGTATTACGAGGACTGCGATTGTACTTTGATAAATGTCTTGGTGCACGTTTGCTCTATAAAATAGAGCGATCACAGTATAAGCAAATGAAAATTCAACATGAGGATCTCAGTAATTGTGAAATATATGGCTTTGAACATTTACTACGACTGTTTGGTATGTTTCCGGCTTCTTTATATCATCCTTTCTTTGCGTGCGAGAATGTTAACTCGAAATTCATACCACCCCTCACCACAGTCCAATTACCGGCGATTATATCTCAAGCGAACCTTGGATCAGATGTCAGCGGATCTCTCAAATTGTACATAGATGACTTTCTAAAGTAAGTATCAACAAGTTCCATCATTGCTAGACGAGATCTTATGAGTAACCTTAATTATGTTCTGTAGCTTTCTCAAAGAAAATGTCAAAGAATACTACACTGTGGATTATAGAAAGATCGAGTAATCATATATAATAATTAATCACATAGAACAACCTGCCATTATGACGGCTACTACGGGAATTACTAATAAATACCATGATTCTCCGACGTAGGATCGCCTCGTTAGTCTAAAGATAGAATTTTTCCATAGACGTTCGATACTTAATATTCTATTAAATCTATTGTCATTGGCAAAGCTGGTCTTTTCTCAATGCATGGATTTGTGAGAATAACTTTTTTCCCCTGCTCGCTGTTGAATACCAAATTCTAAACGACTGAACTGGTGGCCATTTGTGTGCCATACCCACACCTATGCATCGTCGACTAACATGACTATGCAGCTTCTGTCAAGCAAATTATTATATCAGCAGTGGATGTCTAACAAGACCGGGTCTGATAGATGTAACTGCTTTGTAGACCCAAACGTCTAAGTAACTCGATGATGTACTTGCCAACAAGATTGGCGTGCACTCTGCGTTAAGGCATGTTCTATAATACCCAAGTCATCCAGGTCTAAAACTGCACCTACGCCATGCATTTGTTATTATATTCTGTTACACGCCGGAATGTTATTTATGCGAAGCCTGAAGATAAACCCCATATTACATAATACCGTACTCCAAAACAAGTAGGAAAGAACCGTTGCCTCGATTCTTGCAAAATTTTAGTTCAAAAATTATTTGCACACAGACAAATGACACTAGGTATTTGATTGGAATTTTTAGTTGTTGAATAAACCTCGATGATTCTAGACACGTCACCACTCACATTTAAAAAGTACATGGAAAAGTTCACAACTAAAACTATTAATCTTCGATGAACATTCTTTATAAACGACTGTTTAGATTAATCGATCCGAGGTATCGTGTCGTCGCTTCATATTGATTCCCAAAATACTTGACAGCATTGTAGGTACCAATAATTCTTGGTTCTAATGTAATTAGTAATTGCTGCAAGTCTGTTCCGTGAACTGCTTCGCCGCTTATGACAATAGGAAGCAATTTTATCTGTATGCTAGAGAATTGCCTTCTAATTTATTGTCTACTTAAAATAGTCACATCATTGCTAATTTTCTTTGTGCCGACTTAATATAGCAAACCACGTTGCATTATACTATGAGACCTATTGCTATGCTGCTTTTGTTATCACTATCTTGGAAATTAATTTACACAGGTAACAAAACAAAAACGCGAAGGCGTTAGTAAACGAGAACAGAAGACGCGTGCGCATTACGTATAAAAAATATGCAATATGCTTTTTTCGTAATTATTTATTCCTCTCGAAAGCTGGATGTTTCAAATTTACATGCAAAATTCTTGCTACAGATTAATACAAATTCCTCTATTATTATTACACTAAATTTTGCGTAAAGTAAAAAAAAAACCTGTACGGATCTTTGTATATTAATTTTCGATTATCAATTATCGTCGTCGTCGTCGTCGTTATCGTTATCATCATCGTCGTCGTCATCATCACCTTTATCATGATTTTCTTCATTTTGTTTGCCGGCTTTCTCATCAGGCAATTCACCCTTCTCTGCCATTCTCCGCCTCTTTTCTTCGAGTTTCTTTAGCAGATTTTTTGCTGTATTAAATATACCATTTGTAGGGCTCCCGCAGGCATAACATTTCGGCGATATTCGGTAATTGTCCAAGGCGCACTTGTCGCAAAAATAATGCCCACACCTTTGATAGACAAGAGAGTAAAAAATTCTTAAACATAGGTTCTTTCTATTACAATTCTTCGACTTATCGTTCAAATACCAGCTTACTTTGTGATCACAGGATCCTGAAATTCCTTTCTACAAATGATACAGGCAAATGGTAAATCATCATCGCTGTCCTCATCGCTGCTTTCGATGAGGAAAGCATTTTGATTGCGTCTCAAGTTACCCTGCATCTCTTCCCATTCTCTCTCGAGTTGCCAACCCGTCTTGTAATCTCCACGATCGTGCAGAAATTTGCATGAATCGCCATAACCACAGTAACCCGTTTCTGAGAAATAATATGCAATCAGAAATCTGTCAATAAACATAAAGTGGGAGAATAAAGTCAAAGACAAGTTAATGTGGGTTACCTTTGTAATCTTTGCATATGTCGGGTTGATAGTCGAAACGAGATGTAACTCTTATATTTGTTGGAGCCCGAATGGGTCCAGCTCTAAATAAGTAAATAAATACAAGCCAACGTTATAGAGCTGTCAATATCTGGAAATAATCGAACGTATTTCACTCGGGAATGAAAACTTGCTTTATTTTAGAGCTTGCAGCACTTCCAGCAGCAGTATCGCGCTTTTTGATATATGTTTTGTACGCAGTTTGACCTCTGTACAAATTGTCGTCATCCGCGGCCTACGAATCAAAATACCAGCTCAGTCATAGCGTATACGTGATTGCAAAACAACAGCAAATGAAGACCTACATCCTCAGCCGCAATTTTTTTCTCTAATAGAGCCTGTGCGTCTTTATCAAACTCAGTGTCCCATTCTGCACTTCTAGTTGCAACATCTTGACCAGTTAATGGCGCTGCTAGTTGATTTGATGAAAACTTGACAGAAATGTCCTCTTTCTGTTTTTCCTTTCTGGAAATTTGTACGAACGGACTATTCGGATCGATTTTTCTCTCCTTTGTGACTACTGCCGACTTTCCTGCTTCGTCGGACGAGCCTTCATGAGAGGATTGTTTACGTTTACGAATGTTTTTGTTTGGTCTGGATTTCTTTTTGAAGAATGGAACTTTGTCAGTTGGATCTGTTAGTTCTATTGTGGAAGTGTCATTAGAAGACATGGATAAAATACAATTTTAAAAATTGGTCATGCACAATTAAATTCTTAATCATTGGTCAAAATTGTTGTTCCACAGATAGCATTTCGTTTTGACAAATAAACGTTCCCGCGGTCAGATTTTCACTCCTGTGCATTAAAACAAATTATTTGTAGTAGTCTTTCTCTTTATTTAATGGAAGATTGTTTGTCTTTTATTTGATGAGCTTCTCAAAGACTTTGTCCAGTTTTCCAGAGAGCATTGCACTAATCTTGCCAGTAATCCTAGCCAAAAACTCTTGTTTTGCATAATAAGAATAATCGAATATTTCTCATGCCCTGATTAGCGTATTGGTATTGAAATAAAAATCAATTATTATTATTATTATGTAACAATGCTTCCAATAATAAATTATATAAATAACGATTACAATATTTTATTACAAGAGCTGAGGCCGAAGTAGTTCCGCTTTAATGAATTTTGTATCATTAGTCGAATTCATCCACCTCATTCTCAGACGTCTACGGCGCAGATCATCTATTACTATTAAGAGCAAAATTAACATTTCTGCGCACGGCTTGTATTGCTAAATCCCGACATTGGCTTAAAATTTTTTTATTCAAACCATGTCATTACTTCCAGAGGTTAAGCACATAATTGACAGCTTGGAACTTGCATGGTTCCATCGCCCGCAAATTACCGATATAAAGCCAACTCGAATTGACAATGTTTACCATGCTATTTGCTCGCAACCACTTTATCACAATATAACGTTGCTGTCAGTTGAGTGTACACAAACTTCTGTGAGTGAGTTTGCCAGAGTATATTCACTCCCAACACACAAGTATAGCAGCGTCGTTAATCGGTTCAGAAGATACAAAAGATGGCTTGAAAATCGCAACGAACGCATAATGGGATTCACCGAATATGAAGGCAACTATTACATGATGGCTGACAGAAAGTTTTACCATTGTTATTCTCTCTATGGGTTTTGCTCCGCATGTGGCATACTCCGATGTAGTCCTGTGTGGTGCATTTGCGGCCATAAACAATTATCTGATGGATGGACTAGCAATAACAAGCAACTCGATGACTTCATTAAGAAATCTCAATTACAAACAAACTCGCCAAATGAGCACTATCTGGAATGGATTCCAGACGATTATATGATTATTGGGGCACATGTATACTTGGACGGACTACCCACTCTTAAACCAGTTGGCTTGATACCACTTGAGATAACAGACGAGACAGATGATTTATATTATGCCGAGGTAACCTATTATGTGTCATGTTTATCGAATAATTTAAGTATTATTGGCTTATTATTATGTATTATTTCCACTAGCTATGTGAGGAGCATCCGGATATCCTTGCCAAAAATGTTTGGATTACCATCGGATTTACATATAATTCGTGGAAACAAGAGTATCGTCTAATAAAAGAATATTGGGGACGTGGATTATGTCTGGCGTGCACGGAGCAATTAAAACCAAAAATCGATGCGTTCTGTTATAAATGTAAAGCACCAAGGCCTCCCGATTGGACAACTGGCAACAAGTCACTAGATTTATTTTTAATAGAATCATGGAAGAATACAAGGAAAGAATCTGATGCATTCATACGATGGATTGAATACTCTTCATTGGCCAATGTAAAACAGACGACATCACCCGTTATTGTAGCAAACTGGTTAAACCCAACATCAAACAAATGGACAAAAGTGAAACTCAAGCCGGTAAGAATAGGTAATACTCAGTCACCTGGTCTTCCCAAGGTAAATTATTTCACATATGATTACCAATATGCAAATAATATCAACTATGTGTCACGTGTTAACCTTATTTTATTCATAGCTAATTAGAGAATATCCCAAGAAAATAACCCATGAGAATATTTTGCTAATTGGGTTCACCCAAAAACCATCAACTCGGAATTATTATTTAGTCTTTTACAGCGAAATACATCCAATGTTGGACGAAATTCGAACATTCGACAGATATTTATATGATGATTTTGATATACTTGAAGAGATTGGATCTAGTAGTTACAGAACAGTTTATATAGCCAAGTATAAAAAGCATTCACCGTCTTTGACTATGTCACAAACTGTTGTACTCAAACGTTTTAAAAATTTTGATCAGACATCGGAATTATTTATTTCTGAGGTAAGCATTCTTTGAAATTATAATTGAAGTAATATGTATTTATTTATTTATTACTTACTTGCTAGGTCAGAAATCATGTCAAGTGCGCAAATTATCATTTTCTTCGACTTTATGGTGTCACACGAGACCCAGAAACAAGAGACTACATGATTGTTATGCAATATGCCAATAATGGTAGTCTTTCATCATATTTGGATCAAAATATTAACAGATTGACGTGGAGGATGAAATTACATTATTTGCATGATATTGCAAGTCATCTGAGCGATATTCATAAAGTGGGATTAGTGCATTGCAATCTTCATGGCAGAAATATAATTTTGCATAAAAATAATAGTACGCATGATATGGAATCATTTATATGCGATCTTGATCTTTCTCGATCAATAGATTCATACGGGTCAAATTCAAGCATGCGAGGCGTTTTACCCTTTGTTGCGCCGGAAATCTTTCATACTTACAAATTTACTCAGAAATCAGACATTTATTCTTTTGGTATGGTTATGTATTTGATGGCCACCGGTGAACAGCCTTTCAGAGACTGGCAGTATGAGAAAAATTTATTATGCGACATTATGGGTGGACTACGACCAACGATGCCTGATTCAGCACCAGAAGAATACAGGAAACTTGCCGAGCGGTGTTGTGATGCGGATCCTGATAAACGTCCTGATGTAAAGACACTTCATGATGATATTGGAACTCTTCTTAGAAAGGTGGACAGTTATTTTGATTGCAACGTGTGGGATGCTGTTTATTATAATGATGTCAAACCCTTATCACGTCTTGAAGGAAGAGAGTAAACACTCTAGAAGCTTGGGAAATTTGCGTAAACCGGAAACTGCAAGTACGATGTGCTGGTCACGTGTTGATAGTTAATTTAAAATGTTAGCGTAATATAAATAGTAAAGAATATAGTAATCACTCTGATGCGCTATTGTTAATTTATATTTTAAAGCGATCTCTTGCTGCTGTGTGATTCTGACTCTTTGATCCCCAAAATTATTAGTCAACTTTCAGCCACATCAACCAAAATAAAAATCTGTTTGTTGATTTATTATATTATATTATTATATTATATATAAGATTATGACTATCTATATGGTATTGCGTCAACCGGTATGTGAAAATTTCCAGTTATAGTGTTACATACGCTCACATACTGGCTTTTCTTTATGCTAATTGTCGGGTTTATTTTTAGGTGTAGATTGGCATTTACAATGTTCACTTCTGAAGGAATTAAAAGCACTTAAGGAAATTTCGAGGGATGATACAAAACAGGTAATCGGTATAGTATTGAAAGATAAATAGACATTGTGTAACTATGGCGTGATCATGATACCCGCAACGATTAGGTAACAGAAAATCGGTCACGAGGATTTCAGCATCAGCTGTGAAATATATTTATGTTTTGCTAATAAATTCGAAAAATACTAATATCGCTATTTCAAGGCTGGCTAAATTTACTCCATGTTAACCATAACCACATTTATTTGTCTGTAATTGTATCAAGTTATACGATTATTGCAGTCATAAACATGGTTTCTTAATAATAATACTACATTACCAACGTGGTTAGAAAAGAATGTATTTTACCTTTATTCGAAGTGCAGCAATCAAGAACTTTGTTTCACTAAATGTATTAGTTTCGTTAATTGGTAAAAAGCGAGTATTTTCGTCTATCGTTATCGTTATCTATGAACGGGCTGCCCAAAGTTTGGGGCTAGTGTTGCCACATTTTGACCAATGAAAGTTCAATGTCTGAGAAAAACATTTCTATCTACTATAATGAACAACAATGTCAGCAAGTTACGCAAACTTATATACTGAGAGAAACAAAAACACACTTACCCAATCTTCTTTCAACACGACGGGGAGTTTCCTTCTGCTCTTATGAACAAATACCTTAAGCGCACGTAATATAAACAAACTTATATTAATAAGATATCTCGTATGGCTGTTGTCGTTACGCAGTTATTCATATATATATATATATATAATTTAAACTTTGTTAATTAGCACGAGTCATACATAATGGGTCAGACAATATCAGCGATAAACGAAGAGGTAACTACGTGTTTAACCGAGCACATATTAAAAGTATATACTCAGTCGCCGTTATTCCTATTTTAACAGCTATCGCGGATAAGCGAAATCCCGACAACCTCTCCACCGCACTATCAGCATGAGCAGCAAGTAAGCAACTTGTCTTCTTCAACGTGCTGAGAAGCATGTTACTGTCGTTTTAACAAACCTATTTTTTTTTGTTAATAGACTTTTCAGAAGAGAGAAAGTCCTTCTTCTCTCCCATATTCGCAGTTAGTTTCTCGTAGCTTGGTAACGCGACAAGGCTGTTTTTATGGCTAGAAACCCGGGGTTACTATAAAAACTAGACCATTTTAAATTGTTTTTTATAGGCTGCTAAGAAGGAGCAGGATTATTCGTCCTATCAGACGCAAAATATAGCTAAAGGAAATGAAAATGTAACGGTATGTTGGCTTGTTGTCACGCATCGAGGAGAAACATGTACAGCGATTATATTAATCAACTTTTTATTTGTTCTTAACTAGGATAATTCTTTCCCTCCCACCATTCGTCCTTATATAATTGTACGATCTGGAACAACGGTATCTTTTATTCTGTTTGTATGTCACTAAATTTAATCCGTTTTTATTCGTCACCGCAATCGATACTCTGAATTTTTATGTAGACATCCTTGACGGGGAAATATACAATTACACAAAGCAAGGTACGATGTTTGTTCTGAGGACAATAAATTTCCCGTTGTAGCAATTTCATTAACAGCCCAATGTTCTGCAGAGCGATTCTGGAAAGAGTCAGGTCACAGATCAAGCTATTGATAACTGTCATGGTTTTTTTTTTCGATACGCAACATGAGTTTCATGTTCTTTTACTAACTAGCTCCGTAGAATTCTGGAACATCTTGTACAATACAACAATGGTTACATTGTATATGGCAATTGGATTTGTGAAGATCGAGCCACGAGAGCCGAAGGAGACGAGGATGAGTACGAATATGAATACGAATACCAGAGAAAATTTGTACATAATGAACTCGAGACGCTTCTAGAACACCCAAGTAACAAAGTGTTGCATGCTCGGCTGTCTGAGGAATGCAATGTGTGTGAGGAATCGATAGTGGTTACGAGTTTTCGATTATACGCAGCAACTTTGGATGTAAGTCAAATGCGATCGTCCATTTCTAAGGACGCTTTCCGACATGTAACAAAAATTTTATGATTTTACAAATAATAGTCTGATCAAGAAGAGCCCACCATTGAGATTCTTCGCAATTTGGAATGGAATGATCATTACCGAGTATTTGGCTTTTGGAAATGCCAAATTTGCAAAAAGAAATGGAGAAGCGCTTACACTTGGATATCTCTTCGAGAGTTTATGATGCAAACAACGGCGCGGAATTTAAAAGATTATTACATGCAGCGGTGCAAGACTTGCAATGGTAACGCAAAATGCAGCGGTCAAAAGAGAAACGACAGTGACACGAGCTTTATTTATGATTATCAACCTCTGAAGCTGTCGAGAAGCACTGACCCACATAAAGATGAATTATGCGCAAAATGTCAGAGTGGGCAAAGCAACAAATGCAGATACAGCACTCATTCTACATACACCGGTAAAAAAAGATGAGGTTTCAAAAATATAGGCCAGCGCATGGGGAGGGCAAATTTGCCAGAGCATAAATTAGCCACTTTACAACATTTATTATTCGTTATATTTGTATATTTTGTCAGTATTGTCTTTATATTCTTAATAAATACTGTGAAAAGTTTTGTCATTGGTTGGTGGTATTGACCAAATATAATGATATGGATAAGTCTTCATTCTGTAATCGCGGTGGGAACAGTACTAATCCCACATTGGCAAATTTGGCTGTTTCATTTTATATTTAAATAAGACATATTGTATATATGCGCCGAACCAGCAAAAAAGAAATACCGAAAATAGGAAATAAGTACCCCCAAAGTTTACCTCCCAAACCAAGTTTTGCCTGCAATAAAATAGAAATTGTGTTCGATCTGACTTACAGTTAATTGTTTAAAGTTGGGTGTAAAGCACTTGGAATAATTTAAGTCGTTTTGGACGAAAACTAGTTAACTTTATTGAGTAAACGGGAATTGTTTAAATACAGTCTTTTCGTCATTAACATTCTCGCATGTGTTTTTACTTAATTTTGTTACACGAAGGTCTAGTCGCCGAAAATAATAATAACAAAATTACTGACCCTGTACTAGAGACATTTCCCATGACTAATAAGCACCCTCTTATAGTTAAAGAGTACTAAGTACACTAATTTTCGGAACTATTACTATACATGTTCCGAATGCTGGATTAAAATATGAAAATGCCCATTTCACAATACCATAAAGGTTTCTTATTATCAAATGGGTTGACATTAAAAAAAAATGAACAACTTAGTTTATGTTCTCAAATACAAAGACAGTAACCCCAATGCTACCCATGTAAATGTTGCTCGATGGGTTAAGACAACATTGAAGTTAGACATCAACCCAACAGGTTTTGAGTATTTACCACTGCAACATTAGTATTTACATCTTATCAATAAAACCTCGTCTTCAGATGTGGCATATGTTCAATATAGAATGGATCCACTTTCTTGCAATGGCATGACACTCGTCTAACGTCTTTCCTTTCTTAAGATCTTTACGCATCTCTTCATTCTTTGGAGTTCCTTTTGGGTAGCCACTTGAATCTTTCTTGTGAAAACAAATATATCATGATGGCGTTCTTTGCAAATTCCAAGATGCTCCTTGTTTTTCCATAACCAGATGATTGTATGATAGCTAGGTAATTGTAGTGTGTAACTGATGCCTTGGAGCCGTTCATCACAACCTCTCTTAGTTCTTGCACATAATTAGTGGGATCCTGAAAACCAACTTTGAAGGCTTTTTCAAAAACTGGCAACATTCATCTCCATCGTACTGAGGTAACGGTAATTCACCAGGCCGATCGGTAATTGTTTCAATATCCCAAGCCATTATTAAAATTTTTTCTTCTAATTCAGATATATCTTCTTCATATAACTCAATATTAAGAAGTGAAAAAGGTAAATATCTGTCTTTAATGATTATCAATAGTAACGGGTAACTACTAACAGTTAATGCCATACTATTACTATACAAAGATGTCAGTGGTCAAGTTCTTGATAAACTTAGAAAGCAACCTATGATGACACTTCCAGATATTACCTGCAGATTTTGATATTTCTCGAATTCGGGTTTTGAGTTTCTTTTCTCTTATATCAAATTCAGCTAATTGATTTTCCCTGGTAGTAAGTTCCTTATCTTTTTGTTCGATCTCCTTTTTAAGATAATAGACGATTTTTTTTAGGTCTGATATCTCTTTTTCCAATTCCTCCCTTTCTTGTATTGAAAGTTCGATTGTATTTGCTAACTCCTTCTCGAGATATCGAATTCTTTCCTCACGTAAAACTATATCCCGTTCAAGATTGTATGTTCGGCGTTCATAGTCTCTGTTTGATTGAGCCAATCGATCGATTTCATCATGAAGTTCTTGATTGGCTTGGCGTAGACCCTTTAGGTCATTGCAGAGCAATAATTCATCCATGTTTTTTATTCACTGTAATAATAAAAGTTATGATTGAACCTGTAATTTATATTGACTCACAAAGAGCTCATGATCTTGATCGTGAAATTGCATTGCAAAAATTATATTACCGACCTGAAGGGTACTATCGAACTGTAGAAAAAATGCATAATGCTTGTAAAAAGGCTGGTTATAATTTTTCATTAAACAATATAAAAGAATGGCTTGAAAAACAGATATTGTATTTG